GCGCCTGCGCCGCCCCCTTGCCGAGCCCTGCGCAACCAGAGCCCGTGCCGCCAGAGCGCTTCCCCCCCGCAGAATGCCGCGCTCCCCCCGCCGCCCCTTACCAGGTGCCGCCCCAAGCATGCGCTTGGGTGCCTGGAGCCGGCCCTGCCCCCGCTCCCCCCAATCTACTGGTAAGTGTTGACATGGCCTCAGTCTTGCAAACATTTTCACATGTGCTTAACTTTAAACAGCTGAGTAGCTACAGTGCCCTCCTGGGGCTACTCTTTACTGAAGCAGTGGCAAAATTCAGGATCAGGAGCTTAATGTTTGCCTCCCCATCTTCAAATTAGATATTACTGCTTCACTTTCTCATCCCCAATACAATGTTCTTATTACAGATTTCCCTTTAATAATTGTACTGACCTGGTCCAGTGCTAATAAAATCAGCTCACCCTTCTGCCCCAGAAGGAAGGGAGCAACTATTGCCAGCTGAGGGGAAAATGAGGCCGTGCACTTGGGCTGTGGTGTCCAGCAGAGTGCATCTGTGTACAATAAACTGCTTTTGTTTTTTCACTGATCTCTATTACTGGTCTAGTAATAAGGGGAGAGACAGAATCCCTCTTAGGAGTAGTGTGTTCTGAGTTACATGCATACAGGTTGGATAAACACAGTCAATAGGTCTTAAGTTTTTCAATGATACCCCACATCAGCCATCTTGCATAAAGTATATATTAGCTATGTCATATCCATATCATAAGCATATTTTCATAAAGAATGTAGAGTATAATGTCACACCCTACATGTATGTTTGCTGATCTGCAAATACTAAAGGAGCATGCATCTTTGGGTGCAAACGCTCTTGACAATAGTGCAGAGCCATGCAAGCTCCATGATTCTGTGTGAGATGGCAGACAGTGAGGAGGGTCAGGCACGTTAGTGGGTTTAGAAAAAAAAGGTGTAAACATTATGTATACACTTATGTATGGGATACATATAAAATTAGTGGATGGTTAACAATGCATTATAAGAAGTTTGATCCCATGGCCACAACCACCCCGTCTGACCTATTTGGTACCCAGCATACACTACCAAACAAAAGCTTCCCAAAATACAGTAGGTGGACAGTGGGATATCTATTCATGGTGCACCTGACTCTGAATCTATACAAGTGCTGCTGAGGTAAGGAGTCCAGGAGGCATGCACACAAGTGACATAGTAACCGTAGTGACTCTATGGTGACATAACTTGAGTTAACCCACACTTAAACTGTAGATATGGCTTTATGTATATTAAATGTTTGAGAGTATGAGGGTAGATTAAGATTCA